GCTGAGTTGTGACCTTCTCTCCCCCATATCCCCGCTCTTCCTGCCGCCTGCAGGGCCCTCCCTCTCCAGCCTCCTGGTCACCATGCTTCATGCTGTGGGCTCATCTTCCCCCACCAAGTCCCCCACCCCCTTCCTTGTCCTGCACAGTGGCCTGCTGTCCCCCCCCCCACAGCCCCCAGGCGGCTCTTCTTCCCTTCCTTCCTCTTCAGTGCGAGTCTGTCTAGCCTTCAATGATCAGAATCTGGCACTGTCGCTTTCTAGCTGCTGGGACACAATATCCACAATATCCAAGCCCACATCTGGAAAGAAAGGTTTATTTGGGCTCACATTTTCAGCCCATAGTTGGCTAGCACCAAGGCAGGGAGGCATGGTAGAAGCGTTTGACAGTGTCAAAAATTATAATACAGCTAATTAGTGGTATAGCAGTTATAAATGCATATGAATGCATATCCCCTGCAAAGGGATAACTGTAAGATTTCCATGTTAAAATTTAGATAATTCACCTCGCAAGCCCAAGGACCTGAGTTTGATTCCCCGGTACCAAAAAAAAAATTTTTTAGATAATTCATAACTGATGAACTATCCACAAATATAAATCAATTTAATGAAATAAAATAGATAATTATAATAATTTTTAAATGTGTATGAATAGAATTAATATTTATGCTTGAGAAGTAATTACTCAATTTCAAGCAACTAACTAGATTTGGTCCATTTAGAGACTGTTTATTAACCGTACTAGTAAAAAGACCGATAAAAGTGATCAGATCTATTCATAGCACTGCTGGTTCAAGCCACCGGATGGGACACTCATGTGTGTACCTCTGGTGGTCAGCTGGCAGGAAGGTGGTAAGCATTTAGATGTACAGTATGTGCGCCCTTGATAGCACAGTCCATGCCTTACTTTCCACTGCAGGGTTGAACAGCAGCACTGCCTGGTACCTTTTGAGCCCCTCTCATCTACACTTCGAAATCTACATGGCTTTCTGCAATGGACCTCTCTTCACAGTACACCCTCCCCTTCCCTCTGCTGTATGTCCCAGTGATGCCTTCAACATGGTTGGCAAATGGAGTTCTGTTCTAAACTGGCTCCTCCTACTCCAAACCCCTCCAGCAAAGGTCTACAGAATGACCTGTTCACAGGGTCATTTGTGGGCAAACTTATCCATCCAGCATCCCAACTCCTTCCATTTAAACCTCTTTCATCCTGAGTCCTCTAGGTGAGGCCCCACAGGCAGGAGCTCCCAGGATTCTACCATGTTTCACACAGAACAGCTCCAGAGTCCAGTGCTGAACCAGCCTGGGCAGTGCTGTGCTCTGAACACCCCCTGCATGGGTCATGTGGAAATTTAACTGCTAATGTAACAGTGCTGAGAGACAGGCCTGTAACAGGTGACTGTGGGTTCTGCCTCATGAATGCATTAAGGATTAGCTATGGCAGCAATGGATTTCTGATAATGATGAGTCTGCCCCAATTTTCTTTCCCTCTCCCTGTCTTGCGCATGCTCACTTGCCCTTCCATCATGATATGATGCTGATGAGGCCTTCAACAGATGTGGGCTCTTGGCCTTACCAGCTTCCGGAACCATGAGCCAAATAAATACACTTACTTTATAAAGTACCCAGTCTGTGGTATTCTGTTATAGAACAGAAAACAGACTATGTCAGACAGGAACAGGTCTCCCTCAGTTCCCATCAATCGGTCCATGGCCCTGTGAGAATTGTGAGGAAAGAGGGAGATTTATTTGAAGATAAGTTTTAATTTCCCCTCCATCTGAAGATCAAGATGGGACCCTTCTGCTTTCTCGTGTGAAGTAACAGGCAGTTTCCCCATCCTATCCACCAAACCACTACCTTCCAAATTCATGGCCGGCTCCCCACCCTTGGAGGGTAAGCAGCTCTCTCAAATACTTAAGAGCTAGAGACCGGAGAGGGGCATGTTCAGCTGCTCGTGTCCTGTGCGGTGTTTCTCTATATATACCCATAAACTTACAGATGGTGTAGGCCTTCATGTCATCACCATCTTTCAGATCCATCTTCTGTGTTGTGGCAAGTAAAGGCTAGAGGTCTGATATTTGATCAGGCCTCGGTGTGGCAGGAACTGTGACACTCCTCCCACATACGCTACTCACTCATCATTTAACCCTTGTAACAGCCTCAAATGGTAGACGTGAGCTCAGTGTGTGGGGCAGGAACTGTGACACTCCTCCCACATACGCTACTCACTCATCATTTAACCCTTGTAACGACCTCAAATGGTAGACGTGAGCTCAGTGTGTGGGCACACACCTGTAATCCCAGCAGTTGGGGAGATAAGGCAAGGATACCTAGTTTACGGACAACCGGTTCTACATAGCAAGGGCAAGGCTGACCTGGATGACACAGTGAGATCCTGTCTTAAAAACCCAAAAATAAAAACAGGAGTAAAAGCAAGGTAGATGTGTTAGTTTCTGTAATAGTTCGGATTTAGTGTCTCCCTCAAAGCCTCATGTGAGTGGAAGGTGACTGTGTCACAGGGGCACCATACTCATCTGTGGATAAATCTACCGAAGGTTTTAGAGCTGTTTGTATATTAGGAGCAGGGCCTGATTGGAAGAGGCAGGTCACTGAAGATGTGACCTGGAAACATGTGTCTCCTTCCTCAGCTACGCTTTCTATCTCGGATTCCTGGCCTCCACAGACGAGCCGCTTTCCTGTAGTGCAGGTCCTTCTAGCATACTGTTTCTGCACTTCAGCCTGCCAACCATGGACTGAAACTTCTGAAAGCGCGAGCCAACATAACCTTCCTCTGTTTTAAATTGGGAGTGTGGGGCATCTTGTCCCAGGGACAGGAAAGTAACTAGACAGTTTCCTGGGGCTTCCATAATACCTGATCACAAATGGAAATTTGAAACAAGAGGAATGGATTCTCACATAATTCTGGAGGCCAGAAGTCTGAAATCAAGGTGTCAGTAAGGTTAGTTCCTTCTGAGGGCCCTGAGGAAGAATCTGCGCCATGACTCCCTCCTTGCTAGTGGCGACTGTAAGTGATCCTTGGTGTTCCTCGGCTTATAGGTCCATCACCCTAATTCCTTTCTCCACCCTTCCATGTGTTTGTGTGTCTATATCTCTGTTCAAATTTCCCACTTATAGGGACACTAGTTATTGAATCAAGGTTCATCCTAATCCAGTATGGCCTCACCCTAACTTAATTACATATCTAAGAGTCTTACTGCAAATAAGCCACAGGCACTGGTGCCTGGAATTGGAACGCCAACATATTCTGGGGAATACAGTTTAACCCATAATAGTAGGTACTGTTCTAATCATCATATTGTAAATGGACTCAGAGCAACTTTCCCAGAGGTATGTAAGATAGGTGGCATGACTCAGTTTCTAACCTGTGTGCACCTAATTACTATCACCTGTTGGGCCCTTGCTTAGAGTAAGCCCTCTTCTGGGTGCTTCACTTTCATCTCAGCTGCATGTAGCTTTAATGCCTCATACAAACGAAGCTCAGATCAGTGAAGTAGCTCACCCAGATTTGCACCTCACTGTTCCTGCCTAGCTGAGGAGTGCAGAGGCAGAGAGCTAATCACTGAAGATCACAGCACTGTAACAATGCCTCGCAGTGGACGATGGACGAGCTCATGGGAAACACAAAGTTCCTTGGAGTAGCTAAGGAAGAGTCGAATGGAAAAACCACCTAGCAAATGAACCCCATTAAACAGCAATGCATGGCACAGTCGATTACTTCCCCACTGAGCGCTGCCAGTGAGCTGAGGGTCATTTCTCTGTTCCCTCAGGTACCTCCCCAGGTGGAGCCTGCAGCACCATGCTGGAAAGGACCCAAGTGTCAGGAAAAGCTGTAGAGCCGTTATTTAAATTACCTCACTCTTCCTCAAAGTAAAACGTGTCGCTTTCTGGCAATGACTGTGCACTCTTTGGTATGATACACATACCACCATACAACACACACACCCGTGCATGGGCATACCCCCACACATAACTTATAAACAAGTGCCTCGCACACACAGCATCCTTGAGCAAAGGCCTTCAAACAATGGTTCAGCCGCAACAGCTACCTCGACTCAATACAAGAGATCAATGTGGAAAACATCCCCCACCGTGCCAGTGATATAGGATTATTTAGCATAAGTTAATTTTATTTCTGCTCCTATTGTTAAAAAAAATTCCCAGAATTCTGCACTAGGAACACAGGCTTTGGAGACTCAACTGTCAGCCTAGTTCTATACATACTACCTATAAGAACCCAGATAAGTCGTTTCTCTTTTCTAAGTTTCAGTTTCCTCACCTGTAAAATGATACATGGCCATTTGAGGGAATATAAACATGTTTCAGGGAGGCATATAAATATGAGAAGCATTGGCAAAAAGAAGTTCACAAACGTTTTGTGATTCACCTAACCTTTATTTATTATTATCATACATTTTTAGGGTTTTTTTGTTTTGTTTTTGGTTTTTTTTTTGAGACTGAGTCTTACTGTGTACTTCAGGTTGGACTTGAACTCACTATGTAGGCCATGTTGGTTTCAAACTTGCAATCCTCCTGTCTCAGCCTCTTGAGAGCTGAAATTACAGATATGTGCCACCATCATATCTGTATTTCATTTAATATTATTAATTTTTGTAGACAATCCTAGTGTTGTTATAGGATCACATTGTTCATTAAGAATATTTTCTCCTAGGGCTGGGGCTTTAGCTTAGTGGTTCTGCTGCCTGCCTTGTTAGCACAAGGTCCCGAGTTTGATCCCCAGTACCAAAAAAAAAAAACAATAATAAAATAAGAGTATTTTCTCCCAGTTTATTTAAGTCTTCAAATAACTTATGCTCAGTTATTTATTTATTTATTTTCCCCCTCATTGAGTTTATTGGTACATTTTAGGTATACAGTACAGTTACATTTATTATTGAGATCTTGTATCTTTACATGACAGGTCTTGGTTCTCATTTTTCCCCCTTGTCCCTGCCCTCCTTTCACCCACTCCTCCCCTCCCCATTTATAGACACTTCATTTCCATTTTTTCATTTTCTCATTTTGCTCAGTTTTTTATATATATGAGGCAAAGGGTGAAGTTCTATTTACCTCTGCCTCCCTTGAGGGAGAGACAGATGGGACAGAGCGTTAACAAATACAGGCTGGATGTACGCCATCTGAAACAGCGCCATCTAGAGGCAGCTACTTTAAATTATACTTCTGGATTATGCCGTGCTGAGACTAATTCACATTGAAATAGATGTAACTGCAGAAGGGGAATAAAAGTAGAAGGCCAACACAATCACAAAGTGGTACTTAAGTAGAAGTCTGCTTCCGGAAGGGAAAAAGCCTGCACAAACAGATCTCTGGTTGCATTTTTGTTCACGAAATCACTAATTTTAACAAATGAGTTTTAAAGGAAGAACTAATTCATCTTGTCAGTTACAACTTATAAAAAAGAGAGGAGGCTCAGAAATTAGCTAAATACAACTGTTCCAATAAAATCTAAGAAGTATCCAAAACAAAACTTTAAAAAAAGACCAGTAGCAGCAAATATATCAAACATTTGTAAACAACACTATTAGAAAAGACTCTACTCAAAAAAAAAAAAAGAAAAAGAAATGACTCTACTTAATAACAAAGACTGAATTCTCCCAAAACATCAAATATATAAAATGAGGAGACTCTTGATGCCTAAAACAGAACTCGTTGTCTTATAAGATGCGTGGGGCAGTCTTCTTCACAAGACTGGGGCATCACGTGGCTGCCAAGGGCAAACTTTCCAGAAGTCTCCTCCGCGCTGTGATGCGCGCACACCGGGGGCAGCCCGAGGACTGGAAGCAGTGTTTGTGAAAGCAGGCCCTGCACACTGCAAGCAAGGAGACTGGGCATTAGCAAGCATGGTCTTATTTTGTCATATAGGTACAGATGTACAGATGCTCATTCTCGCCCTAGGGAGGGACAGCGGGCATCTGAATCCAGAACTGCATCCTCTAAACAGAAACCACCTAGGTTGAAACTCACCCAGATGAAGAACATGAGGCCCAGAGAGGCTGATGGACACAGGAGACAGCACAGCACCCTGAGATCTGCCAGGCACAAAGGCTGGTGCTCCCTCAGCCTCGCATGGTGGCCAATGGGTCTGGGAGAGGAGCTGTTTCTTTGGAAAAGGCCCTGAACAGAGAGCAACCGTGTCCAGGGTCACGCCTGCTGCTGGCACTGCCTGTATCCAGTGACTGTCACTGTGGAGTCTGAGAACGAACCTAGCATTCTGTCCCCAAGATGGCACAATGCTTAAAACCCCCCAGCCCACCAGCTCCCATCAGATGATCTGGGGCCTTCAGTACAACCACACCACAGTCCAACTTCTCCCCATACTCAGTCCTGCTTCTTTCACACACACAACCTCCCCCCACAGCTACACAGCCAGAGAACCATGAGTCCTGGCATGCAGATTGCTGCCTCAGAGTCTCTTTCATTGTGGAATCCATCCTGAAACACTGTGATGCCTGACAGGTTGGGGAAAGCAACTTGAGGGTGGCCTACAAAGATGCTGTCCCTTGTCAAGGATAAAGGCAGGAACCAATAGCAAATTCCTATGAAACAGCTTAGAAAGCATGTGATTCTTCTGAGCATTCATACCCCAGAATAAGGGTCAGCAACCTTTTCTGTGAAGAGCCAAATGGTAACTGTTCTAGGCCTCCAGAGCTGTACAGTGCCTATGCAGTGCTTGTAACGGCTACTCTACTCCTCTGTCACAACACAAAGGTAGTCAGGACAGCGCTTTAAAGTTGGGTGTGACTATGATCCAAAAACACAGCAGAGCCGGGCACAGGCAAGAATGGGACCATCTCCTCTATCCAAATCCCCAAGAGACATCAACCTTTGTTCCCAAATATCCTTTCCCCGAGTGCCTGAAACGATGATCTGCAATTCACCACACAAGCACACACTAGTGTCAGGGTGATGTAAAGTAACTAGCAGAGGTACACCTGTAATCCCAGCGCACTGGAAGGCTAAGGCAGGAGGACTACAAATTTGAGCCTAGCCTGGAAAACTCACGGGGATTTAGGAGACCCCATTTCCAAATATTAAAAAAAATTAAGGGCTAAATGTAGCTCACAGCAAGGACTCTAGGTTCCATCCTTGCTGAAGAAAAAAGTAACTGTGTTTAAATTACTAAGCTATTCACCTGAGCTTAAACAAATGCTATGATTTATTATTAAACCAATTCACTTTGCAATACGTTAAACAATTGTTAAGCTTATGTTATGAAGTTATTAAAATACCTGAACATCTTTTACATGTTGCAGTCTGAAACGGGAAGATGACAGTCGTACTCCGGCAAAATTCACAAATGAAGCCCTTCCCTTGACACAGCTGTAAGGAAGGAACGAAAAAGTTTCAAACTGATAGTGCTATTCTTGATGGAGAAACTAGGTAATCACTTTGACAGAATTTGCAGGCATCAGTGTTTGACTGTCTGCCATTTTAGCCTTCTTACGGTGTAGGTCTGAATGTTCCCCAGATGGCTCAAAGCCCCTAGAGGCTGGGCTTCGGAAGGCAACTGACTCCTGGGAGCCGCACAGCCAGCTTGCCCTTAGGAGGCAGGGCCTGCTCCCCCCTACCCCACCCGTTCCTCCTGTCCTCTCTGCTTCCTGGCTGCTATGATGTGGACACCTTTGGGAGAACCTTCCACTGCACCATTTTTGTCTTGGAACCAGCTGACCGTGGCCTGAAAACCTAAGCCAAAATGAATCGCTCTTGCTCTGAGTTGCTAGTGTTGGATATTTTGCCCAGCAATGAGGAAAGTGACTAAGATGAGCCTCTTAGAAATATATCAAACCTACAGCCTGTGGACTGGACATGCCTGTGTCATAATTTAAAATATTTTGAAAGGAACTTTAGTTATATACATTAACTATATTATAAATTTTATATGTAGCCTGCGATAATTCCTCTTCATGCAGCCCGGAAAGCCAGGTGTGTCTAACTTGTGGGCTTCTGGCCTTGAACTCCTGGGCTCAAGTAATCCTCCTGCCTCAGCCTCCCAAGTAGCGTTCTACCACACCCAGCTTTAATCCTGTGTTCTAATTGGAGGAAGTCCATTTCTGGTTGCTGCACTAGAACCCTTCAGTTCATGTAGACACAAAGCTTTTTGTTTCATTGGATGAGAGTTTATGTGGCTAATGCAAAGCAGAGTGGGGTCTAAGCAGTACTTTGCACCCAGATGGAGAAGCTGCAGGCCGCCAGCTTGTGTCCCAGCTCTGCCAGCTGCCGGCAGGATGATCCCGGCTTCTTATTCACAGCGCTGCACTTGGGGTTTGTGAGCTTTGTGTGGAGTCCAATGCAGAGCACACAGCACTGGCTCTGGGGTAAGGAACAGCTCAGGGACACACCTGCTCCAGGCAAACTCTTACCTCACAGCTGGCCACATGTGCCAGGGAAGCTTTCAGAATGTCCCTGAGCAAGGGCGCCAGCAGCCCTCTCTTGGTCCTGACGAGGTCCTCTAGGGAAAACAGGTGGAGCTCATCCGTCAAGTGTTGGGGCACCTGCTCAAACTCCTTTAATGTGCTGCTAGGAGGAAACAGAGGAATTCAGAAGGCTCACAGAGCACCAGACAGGGGAAGGACAGGCCGGTTTTTTGCTTTTGGCACTCAAATTCAATTTTTAAACACAATTAAAAAAAAAAACACACCCCTGGGAACAACAGAGAACCTTGATCATCACTCTACACTTTTCAAGTTTGCTTAGAAGCCAGAAAGACATTAAACTTCCGTAAATGCTGATGCCAAGGAGTGAATGAGCAGAGAATATCTGCCCATGCCATGCCTGCCTTGAGCAATAGAAAGCAGAACATTTGATTTCCAAGTCTGAAAAATGTGAGCCAAATACTGTTTGATTACCAGGTATTCAAAATGATGACTCTCTTCATTCCAGCCAAACTTCAGTTCTGTCAGCATCGATGGCTGTGGCCTGAGCAGGGAGGGGAATTACTGTACTCAAAGGTGGGCCACTCCTAATCCCTGGGTCCAGTGACACAAGGGCCACTTCCAAGATTTAGCTATTATAAGTTGTGCTGCTCTAAACACAGGCGTGCATATACCTCTGTAATGTGAAGTCTTTAACTCTTTCAGGAAGATGCCTACAAGCAGAACCACTGGTCCAATGAAATTTCTATTTTTAATTTTTTGAGGAATCTTCATAGTGATTGTACCAGTGTACACTCTTACCAACAAAATATAGAAAGGTTCTTTCTTCCCCACAGCCTTGCTAGCATTTGTTATTATTTGATTTCTTGATAATGGCCATTCTTTCTGGAGCAAAATGGAATCTAAGTATTATTTTAATTTGCATTTCTCTAGTGGCCAGCAATGTCACACATTGTTTCATGTATTTATTGGTCATATGTTCTCCTTCTGTGAAGTATCTATTCATTTCAGTTGTCCATTTTTGGATTGGATCTGTTATTTTGAGGGGCCAAGTTTTCAGTTCTTTTCTACTTTAGTTCTCTGTCCAAGGAGTAGTAGCTGGCAAAATTTTTTCCCATTCTGCAGGTTGTCCCTTCACTTTGGTGGTGGTTTCCTTTGCTTTGTAGAAACTTTTTATTTGATGTAATTCCATCTATGAATTACTGATGATTTCTTGTGCAACGGGGTTTTGTTCAGAAAGTCTTTGCCTATGCCTGTGTCATCAAGAGTTTGACCTAGTTTATCTTCCAGTAGATGTTTTGTTTTAAATATTTAGGTCTTTGATCCATTTTGATTTTAGTTTAGAACATGATGAAAGATACAGGTCTAGATTCAATCTCCTGCATGTTTGTAGCCAGTTTTCCTAGCACTATTTGCTAAAGAAGTTATCATTCCTCCAGGGTATACCTTTGATCCCTTTGTCAAAGATAAGATGACTGAATGCACCTGGGGTTGTTTCTGTATCCTCTATGTGGTTTCACCGATCCACATGTCTGTTTTGTGCCAGTACCATACTGCTTTTTATTACTGTAACTTCCTGCTTTGCTCTTGTTGTCGAGGAGGACTTTTGGATTTTTTTGTATGTTTGTTTTCATTGATACACTTTGGGTATAGAGTACATTCATCATTGGGATCTTATTTTTTCCCCATTCCCCCTCCCTCTCTTCAAACCCTCCACCTGCCACCCCATTTACCAAGAATTTGTTTCCAGTTTTTCCTTTTCTAATACTTTTTCCTTTCCCCTATCCTTCCCCACTTCCCCTACTCCATTTAGACCTTTCCTTTCTATTTCACATTATCTATCATACACTTTGATTCTTATTTACAATTTAGTTTCTCACACCAGGGTATTTGGTATTTACATGTGTGTCCTATTTTTATCACTTCAGAGTATGGCCTCAATGTGCATCCATTTAGCTATAAATGTCTCTAGTTTTTCATATTTTATGGCTGAGTAGTACTCCATTTTATTAATTTTTTTTTTTTTTTTGGTACTGGGGATCAATCTCAGGACCTTGCACTTGCGAGGCAGGTGGTAGAACCACTGAGCTAAATTCCCTGCCCCAAAACACATCTTCTTTATCCAGTCTTCAGTCAATGGGAAAATGGGCCATTTCCAAGCTATAGCTATTACAAACTGTGCCTCTATGAATGTAGGTGTGTATATATTGCCATAGTGTGATTCTTTTAATTCTTTTAGGAAGATACCCAGCAGAGGACTAGCTGGGTCAAATGGGACCACTAATCCTAGTTTTTTGAGGAATCTCCATATTGATTTCCACAGTGGTTGCACCAGTCTATACTCCTACCAACAGTGGAGAAGGGTTACTTTCTCCCCACAGCTCTGCCAGCATTTGTTTCTTATTTCTTGATAGCAGCCATTCTTTCTTGGGTGAAGAGGAATCTCAGTGTTGTTTTCATTTGCATCTCTTGAATGACCAGTGCTGTTGGACATTTTTCATATATTTATTTGCTGCTTTTACTTCTTTGTCTGAGAAATGTCTGTTCATTTCAAATGCCCATTTTTAACTGGATCTTTATATTTGGGGGGTCTGACTTTTTAAAGTTCTTCATATATTCTAGATAGTAGTCTTTTGTCTGAAGAACAGCCAATAAAATTTTTTTTCCCACACTGTAGGTTGTCTCTTAGCTCTGTTGGTGATTTCTCTTGCAGTACAGACGCTTTTTGAAAAGATGAGATCCCAGCTGTTGATTCTTTGTGCTAGTTGCTGTGCTACTGAGAATTTGTTTATAAAGTCTTTTCCTATGCCAATGTCTTCAAGAGTTCTACCTAACTTATCTTCTAGCAATTTTAATGTTTGTTTTAATATTTAGATCTTTAATCCACATTGATTTTAGTTTACCGCATGGTAAAAGGGCTCCAATTTTAATCTTTGGCAGGTTGAAATCTAGTTTTTTTTTTTTTAAACACCATTTATTAGAGAGGCTATCTTTCCTCCAGTGAAGAAAGTTGGCTCCTCTGTCAAAGATGAGGCAGCTGAGTACCTCTGGAGTTATTTTTGCATCTTCTACTCTATTCCACTGATCCTCAGGTCTGTTTCTTTGCCAGTACCATGCTGTTTTTGTTTGTTTTTTGTTTTTTTTTTAAATCACAGTGGGCTTTATAATAGAATTTCAAGTTGGGGATGGTAATACCCGCATCATGCTTCTGTTGCCTAGAATTGTTTTGGCTATTCTAGGTTTCTTCTGGTTCCAAATGAATTTTTGGATTATTTTCTCTAGTTCTGTGAAATATACTGTTGGGATTTCAATTGGGATTGCATTGAATCTTTATAGCAGTTTTGGAACTATGGCCATTTTCACTACATTGGTTCTTCCTACCCACGAACAGGGTATGTCTTTCCATTATATCCTTTTTTATCTTTTTTTTCAGAGTACTGTAGTTTTCATTGTACAGGTCTGTTGCTTCCTTCATTAGATTGATTCTGAGATATTTCATTTTTTTTGGATGCTATTGTTGAAAGGGATTGTTTTCCTAATTTCTCTCTCAGTTAGTCTGCTATTTGTGTATGGAAGGCTATTGATTTTTGAGTCTGACCTTGTATCTAGCTACTCTACTCAATATGTTAATTCTAGAAGTCTTCTGGTGTAGTTTTCTGGGTCTTCTATGCAAAGTATTTCATCAGCAAATAATGACAGCTTAACTTCTTCCTTTCTTCCACTATATATATAATTTTTTTTTTTTTGTACCAGGGATTGAACTCGGGTCCTTGCACTTGAAAGGCAGGCCACTGAACCGCTGAGCTAAATCCCCAGCTATATATAAATATTTAAGGTACTGCGGATTGAATACAGGAAGCAATGAGCTACATTCCCAATCTTTTTATTTTGAGACAGGGTCATGCTTCTTATGCTCAGGCTTGCTTCCAAGTTGCCTTCCTGTCATAGCCTCCACGTAGCTGTAATAGCCAAGTGCCACCAGACCTGGGCCTCACAACCAGTTTGAAGTGCAAAGTTCAGTGCCATTAACAATATCAACAATGTTGTGCAACCATCACTCCTCTTAACCTTAAGAAGTTTTTCCATAACACCACACTGAAAGTCTTCCATTAAATAGATTCAGTTGTGAATGTAAATGTGCTGTAAAAACATCTTTTGAAGAATCTGAGCCATCACCACCCCATTTGTTAAATCTTCCACAGCCTGGCATGGTGTAATGACATTAAATGTCTGGATCCAAGTGAGAAGGCTCTCATACAGCTCCACTCACTCCACTGACGCCACGTTGAACATCTTCCTGCGCTGGGGCCTCAGCGCCATCCCACCAGCCGAAAATGCCATCAGGTGGACTGGAGTAGGGGGCAGGGTCTGGTGCCACCTGCTCCTCAGCCCACCAATGAGAATGCTACTGGCCTGTGAGCTTCTGTGAGCCCAGGATGGCTTTTGTTATTGAGTCTCTTCTGATTCCATATGAACTGTAGAATTTTCTCTAGTTTTATGAGGCATGCTGTTAGAATTCTAATGGGGATTGCATTAAATCTGTACATCAGTTTTGGAAATATGGCATTTTGAGAATATAGGTACTGTCTGTCCAGGAACAGGATATCTTTCCATTTTCTGATGTCTGCTTTGGTCTCCTTCAGAGTACTACAGTATAGTTTTCATTATAGAAGTTTTTAATTTCCCTGATAAGGTTAATCCCTAATATATTTACATTTTCTTGAAGCTATTGTGAGAGGTATTATTTGCCTAATTTCTTTCTACACTTGATCTTAGCCAAAAGGCCAAGAAGCGATCCTAATTTCTTTCTCTGTGGGTTCATTATAGGAGTACAGGAACACTATTTTTCTGTGTTGATTTTGTATCCTAATACCTTGCTAAATCTGTTTATTAGTTTTGGAATCTTTTGGTGGGCTTCTCACATAAAAACTACATTTTAGCTAAATCTCTACCCATATCAGTAATATGTCCTTAGGATAAGCTTCTACAAGTTCGTTCTAGAGGCCATGGTCTTGCCCAGGTAGATGTACCTCAAGCCTGGTGTAAGGGGATTTTAACAGGTCTCAGCATAACCAGGCTCATAGCTTTACTCCCAGGAGGTGGAAGCAGCCCAAGTTTCCTTCTGGGAGTGAATGGGTAAGCACGGCTGAGTGGGTAGGTGACTTACAGTGGAACATTATTTAGGAAATTCTGAAGTATGCTACAACATGGATGAACCTTAGGAACATAAGTGAAATGAACCAGTCTCAAATGAAAGCTCTGTAGCACAGCACTTAGATGAGGTACACAGAATAATAAAATCTTTAGAGAAAACTAAAAGGTGGTTGCCGGAGACTAGAGGGCAGGCAATCAGTGTTTAAAGATTATAAATGAGTTTCAGTTTTGTAAGATGAAGGGTTCTGTAGCTAGGCAGTGGTGATGATCACATAATGATGGGAATGTACCTTTTTTGTGGTACAGAAATTTAATTCTCATTGAACTACATTACTGTCCCTTTTTATTATTATTTTTTAAATTTTGAGACAGGATTTCAGTAAAGCACCCAGGCTGTGCTTGAACTTGTAATTCTCCTGCCTCAGTCTCCCAGAGTGCAGTGATTACAGGTGGGAGTGTACTCAGTATCAACGAATTATACATTTAAAATGATTAAAATAGTAAATTTTATGTTATACGGATTTACCAAATTTTTCTTTTCATCCTTGTCCTGGCCTATTTTCTTAACATGTTAAGTCCTCCACTGGTGATTTAGCAGGCTTAGTAGTTTTGAAGAAGTAGCAATCTTCCCAAGAGTGTCACTAATTACTGTGCTAAGAAGACTTGCATACAAGAAGGGCAGGGACAGCAGGCAAGCAGGAGGAGCAGATCAGAGGGGAGCACAGGCCGTCCCCACTGAGAATCCTACCTGTCAGCAAACCTGCAAGTCTTCAAGAGCTTCTTGATATGAAAGAGCTGCTCTTGGATGTCCTAACGTGAGAAACCAAACAGGGGACAGGGAGAGGGAATTCAACGCGGTCAATGACTCTGGCAGGTCCATGTTAATTCTCACTTCAAAATACCACCCGGTAAAAGACAAACTTTTGAAGCAAACAGCCTCTGCAGCAGGCATTCATATCTGACTCATGAGATCCACAGAAGGTCTCGGATGGATCCAGGTTTTGTGGAGCCTACAGATCACACACCACTTTGGGGGCCCTCTTCCAAGAAAAACACAAAGTGGGTGAGTTCATGTAAATAAATATATTTAAAACATTTATATATAATTTAGTGTGAGCCCTTACAGCCTTGCAGGCTAGGAACGCCGAAGATCAGCTTTATTCATATCAGTCACCCACCTCTCTGAGGATCTGTATAGGAAGGTCAGAGTGACACGCAACCCCAGTGGGCTTCACTTTCCAGCCAAACTCGCTTCCCGGCAGAAGCCCTCACCCTCTCACCTTCACCCTGTCCAGTTCCTTGGCCTTTGTGGAGAGGCTGTGGCTGATGCTCGGCAGACTGAAGATGGGCTGGTGCCATATGTGGTCGAGCAGCTGTTTGGAGAAATTGCTGACATAGTACTTCCTGAAGTCCCACTGCATCAGGATGCGCGCGGGGATGCAGGACTCCACGTAGGAGTGGCAGCAGTCACAGAAATACTTCCCCAGGTATTCGCAGTACCGGAGCCTCTTCACAAACTCTGCGGGGCACACAGGAGGGCCCTGAAAATCCACCCACGTGGCTCCACCCCCAAATATCTGCAAAGTTCAGAGACTCACATGGCTGTTTTCACAGTGGCAAAGCCATACTACACTTCAGGACGACTGGGAACAACGTGGCAGGGACTTGGGGACTTAACACCGTGGCCATTCATGAACTTTAATAGGGCAGAATAGATGTTGGAAAAACAGAACCCTCTCAGAATGCTGCTAGATTTGGAAGACGGGCACAGTGAGCTGCAGTGTAGTGATAGGCCATTCCACATAGATCTGCATATCTGGTTGGGAGTTCAGACTCCAACTGTCACCAGCAGGGCAGGGCAGGCCAGAGCTTTTCAGGCCAGCTGTCCTGAAACCACAAGCTGCGACTCAGAACTGGAGTCAGGGCTATCACACATACCAAAAGTGCTTTGTAAAGTCTCAGGCAGTGCATACACAGCAGGAGGAAGTGCACACACAGAAAATTCCTTGATTAATCAGAAAAAAGCAGGAAAGACAAAAATGAATGATGGAAGCACATGACCAAAGGAAAGAATACAGAAAATCAATAGAGATGTGAAAAACACTCCATCTCTCTGACAAAGCACTGCATATTGAAACGGTGAGATTCTCCGTCTGCCCAGACTGTCACAAATTTAGAAGATCCAGAGCAGGTGAGGGGTTGAGACATAACGTGGGTGCTCTCTCCTGCACCGTGGAGTGACCTGGTCAGAGGATGTCCCTGTGGTACACTCCGAGCTTCCCTGGGCAACGAAATCCTACTTCTATGACTCCATCAGACAGAAACGCTAGCAGGCACATGAGATATACAAAGGTCTTCATTACAGCACATTTGTAATTGGGGGTTAGGGGCGTGGCAACCAAAACGTTCATCAAAAGGCAACTGGTTAAATAAGTACAGCGCTCTCAGCGTGAAATGAGACACAGGAAAGAAGTAAAAGGAAAAGCATGGGAAATGCACATCCAGTTACAGACAGATATAATGTGATCTCCATTTTGTTTCAAAAAACATATACATACTGTCTAGAGTCCCACCAAAAAGCCAAATGTAAGTTATTTCCAGAGCATGGGGAAAAACTATTTTTTGCTCTTTACACTTTCAAATTTGCCAAAGCATACATTGCTTTTAAAAAATCTCTCTAAGGAGATATTTTAACAAACAAAAGATGTAGAGATGAAACAAGGCAAATATCGGAGCTCACCATCCAGGTGAAGAAAGAAAACGATCTACAGTCTCCTATGTGGCCCTCCCTCAATGCCTAGGGTCTAATATGAACCAGGTTTGAAAATATGACATTTAGCATTCATGATCTCAGTGGGTCTCTTTGTAATTAAGATGCCATAAGGCATAGCACTAGTTGACAAATTAGTTAACATATATTGTGAGAATCAATGAAATACTGGATGGGAAGTGGTTACTGTAGTACTGAGCACACTGAATAGTTTCCAAATGATGGCTTACAATATAGACAGGGCCTGAATAGCCACAGATCAATTTTCTACTGGAAATATACTCTGTGCCACACACTGTTTCAATGGTTGACACATGTACTATGTCATTCTGTGCTCAAAACTTTGGGGTAGGGACTATCATTTCCACATTTTAAAGATAAGCAACAAGCCAGGGACACACAAGCAGCAAGTGGGATTCTGGCTGTGCTGTAGTCTCAGCCATCTGATCTCTCTTCTCCACTGCAGGCTGTGAGGGGAGGGGAGGACTGATGCCCAGGAGATCCCTCAGGTCTACCACAGGCTCAGAGTCGGTTTTTAAAAGCAAATGAATGGGGTTTGGGACACAGCCCAGTGGCAGAGTGCTTGCTTAGCCTGTACCAGAACCTGGGTTCAATCTTCAGCACCGCACTACCACCCCCCCACCTCAATAAAGAGAAACCCCTGTTGTGGCGGTCACGCTGTATGGTTTCAGTGAGTGCTGAATTAGTATACACTACACCCCTGCCCCTCGGGGAATATATGGTTAAGGAATTTCCCGTAACAGTACTTCCATCAAATGATCAATATATAACCTTGTCTTGTGGGTATTTCTGCTTAAAGACAATCTAATTAATATATTATATTGACTGATAACGTTAAATTCAGTTCCAGTAGCACTGTAGGCCATATTTTCTCCAAAAGAAAAGTCAGACTTCTTGTACTTAGGGGCACTAGTTGACTCTTCAGCACCATGTTTGGTGGCATTTTAAACAGCGAGATTACAAAAAGAAACAGCAAGAAACAAAAAGCACAAAAAGGGGCCAGGGATTTAGCTCAGTGGTGCCTCTGCCTGCCTCCCAAGCACAAGGTCCTGAGTTCAGTTCCTGGTACAATAAAAACAACAACAACAACAACAACAACAACAAAACCCCAAAAAGCACAAAAAGGCAAAAAAAAAAAATACTCTAAATATAAGGTTTAATGATGGTGCCAATAACGTTTCTTGATATAATTCATCTCTCCCTAATATCCAAGAGCCCAACATCTCAATACCTACTCACTCATTCATCAGACTTCATTGGCTGCATGTCAAGTATTGCACTATCACAACAGAACAAGTTATATCCATCTCTTTTGGGTTTTAAGACTTTCACGAAAAGGGAACATAACAAAGTGTTCTCAACCAGCGGTTCTCAGCCAGGTTTCTTTCCCCTCTCCAGGGACATTTGGAAATATTGGGAGACATCATTTGCAGTAGTCACGACTCAGAGGCTGCCACTGGCAATGAATGATGCTGCTAAGGACCCCAGGGTGCACAGGACACCCCGCAACAGAGTCAACAGTGCTCAAACTGAGAAATCTAGCTCTAAACAACAACTGTTCTTATCTTTTGAAAAGTTAATGGCATGGGAAAAACAGGAGGGAAATGTTCTAAAATAGGACGAATGGAGCCTTCTGTGAGCATGGACATATTTTCTATCTGTGCTATTCAAAAGTAGCCATAGTTATATGTATACTGAGTGTTTAAAATGTAGCTAGCATAACTGAATTGAGTTTTACATTTTAATTCATTTAAATTAAATTGTATGTCGCCATATGGACGAGCAGCTGCCATATTAGATACAGCAGTTCTAGAATAAAGCTAACTAAAGAGAACTATACACAACCGTACTGTGTGAAATTCAGCTGGAATTTGGATAGGAAAATTAGCCACATATCACATCCTGAAGACAGCAAATGAAACTGGACTAGTAGCAGACAATATTAGGGAATTGTTATGTTTTGGTGTGATAACCATTTATAATCCTTATTTTTAGGATGCGCTGAAGTGACAAAGGGTAAAATGTCATGTAGAGTGTGTGAGATTGGAGAGTAAAGAAATATGACAACTAGGTTCAGTGTGGAATTTCAGATTCAATTCTGAAACAGATAAAGGACATTAGTGGAAAACCTGGTGAAAATCCGACAAGGTCTGTAGTTTAGTTATTGGAACGGTAACCAATGTTAATTTCTCAGATTTAATAATTATACAATGATTATATTAGATGTTGACACTAGGGAAAGCTGTCAGGAACTCTCTGTACTATCTTTGCAAGTCATCTGTAAGTCTAAAAATGATCTCAAATTATAAAGTTTAAAAAACTGTCCCTAAAGATAGGGCTATTTTGAAGGAATTATTTATATATTCCATATTGCCATCTACAATCTGCCCTGCCTACTTATAGAGCATGTTTCATCCCCTCATTCTTCTTTTCACCTGCCACAGGCACTAGGAACACGATGAACTCCTCACCCCTGGAGGCAATCACTTCCTTAGAAAACTACTCACTTCCAGTCCTTTCCTATCCCAAGCCCGGATTAGGTTCTCTGGCTGCGAAAGCCACAGCACTTCTGCCTTTCTCTTTTGTTACGTACATCACCCTTGTTTTCACTTTCTTGGCTGAACATGATGTCTTCCCTACAAAGCAACGAGCCGACGCCATGAATTGGGCAGCATCACGTTTACAAGATCACCCCTGCACCAGGAGGACAGGCCCAGTTCCATGTTCGAACAAATTTCCGGAAGTACTCTAAAAGTTGGTAGAATCATAGTCATGTGACTCTAGTTCCTGACTCATGCATTCAGTATTTGTCAGGGACCAGGATGCAGTGGCTCACCAACAGGCACGGTTCTGGCCACACTAACCGGAAAAATGAGTCGGTTAACGAAAGCTAGTTATAACTATGATGCCTGTCATCCAGCATAGTACAGGAATCCCTGGCAGATGTTTCCTTACTATTTTTATCTCTTGAAGTATGGCCCCTCACAGGAGAACAAGGAATTCCCAGTCTCAAGGTGGACACCTGCACGGCTAGCTGAGGAGTGCCCGATGTTTTAGATCTCAGCCCAGATATGATCCCCTCAGGCCACCTCTTCAAACTCTGACAGAAGTCTGGCCAGCTCCTTGACAAACCAGTCATTCACTCCACAAATGTATCTTCCCTCCTTTCCCTTCCTCTTCCCTTTTCCTTCCTTCCTTCTTTTCTTCTTTTGCTTCCTTCTTTCTTTCCTTCTACAGAGTCTCATTATAAAGTCCAGGCTGGCCTTAAACTCACTATGTAGCACAGACTAGCCTTGAATTTGCCATCCTTCTGCTTCAGCCTCCCAGAATGCTGAAATTATAGGCATGTAGCATTTGTAAGGATCAGAAATGTCTTTTGACGAACAACTATGAGTTAGGCAGCCCTCTAGAAACCAGAGATATAACAATAAACAAAAGCAGCAACATATCTGTCCCACAGAATTTATAATCTAGTGATGGAAATAGATAATAAAATAAATCAGTACCATATAAAAGTATTCTACAAAGAATAAAAATGAGGAGGAAGAGAAGCGTAAAAACTGCTGATTATTTGTGGCCAGGAGTATAGCACAGTGGGTGTTTTGCACAGGGTAGCCAGGACAACCTTGGGATAGTTGAATAAAGTTATTTAGGAGGTAAAGGAACCATACATGGGCATGTCTGCAGAATTGGCCTTCCTGGGAGAGAGAACCACAGATATAAATCCCTGAGTCAGGACAGAGTGGCATTTTAAAGGTCCAGTAGGGAGCCCATGTGGCTGGAGCCAAGTGCCCAATGAGGAGACAGCTAGGGTGCTGGTCCTCCTACTTCCTGGGTGGGCTCACAGACTTACAGGTCAGGACAGCCTCTGCCAGAAGAGAAGGCAGCTCTTAATACGACTTCTCACCAAGGGTTTCTCACACAGAAACTGCCACATATGCACTGCCAACTCTTGTTACTCTTCGCTCTACTGTCACACAATAAGCCAGAAATCTGAGATGCATACTTACTAGGCTCTATTGGAGTTCCACACCCGGCACAGAAGAAATTCTGGTTTACTACCCCCAGCTCTCTCCTGAGGACAGAAAATGGTAGTCGTTATATTTCAGAGGCAGCCATTTTTCACTGATTGGAAAAGCAGCTGTGGTATGTTTCTTGGTTTAGGGCCTTAATGTCATCCTTTTTCATTTGAAAAAACTACATTATATTCACTAGTTTTCTAGTTTAAATCTCTAGGTCTTTTTCAAGGTAGGACTCTTCCAAAATCTCGGCTATCCCATAGTACCACAAATTATTATTCCACTAATGGATCTTTTTGGGGCTTCTCACTGTCATGTACAGAAGTCTATGTCCAGAGAAAAGTAGAGAAACATTACAGTAGAAGACAGTTACCCAGACACCAAAAGGGGTTATGCTTGCAAAGTTCACAAATGAATGCAAAAATTTTAGATGAGTAAACAGGTTATATGAGACAAAGTCATGACACATCTCCAGATAAGAGATATGTCATGACTTTTTTTTTTCCTATTGAACTATTGTGCCATAATTTCACATGTGATTTGGAAAGTGGTAAATTTGATTGCAGTTTAAGTTCATAAAAAATGATCAAGGTAAAAATAAGTTAAGTCTCTGCCCATGTGCTTTAGAGAGGACTCAGGGAAACCCCTAAGAAAGCTATCCCCTGCTAAGGAAAGTGACTCCTCACAATGCCCGGAGAGCTATCTTCCGCTAAGCAGTCCCATAAATTTTTGCTTCTCCACCAAAACAAAAAGGCAACAAAGAAAGACCTTCCATAAAGCACCTCCATGAGCAGTCAACAACCCTTATCAGTGCCTTCACAACCCTTGGAAGTTTGCATACCAAATTAAATGCAAACAAAGAGAAATGGAACACTTATACTTGTGAAAATTTTTTTCACCTATAATCTTTGTCTACAATCTATCATATACTCTCAGAATAGATTACAATAAAATTACTGCTTTGTATGTGTACACATACCTATATAAACCTGTAAGGTTTATGTCCCTCTTCACAACATTTTAGTTGTTTGGGTTTTTTTTGGATTTGTTTTTCCTTAGAGTAATTCAAGATATTTTTATTTATATTCTGTTAAATTTCTCAACTAGAGAAGCTCTCTTCCAGGTTAAGTTTTCTTTTTTAAATATATCTTTTAAAGTTATTGTATTTGATTTTTCAGTTTCAATATTAGCCTCTTAAAGATCCCATCTAATCTTATATAATTTTGCTATATAATATTCATAATTAGGAACGCATAGTCACATTCTCCACTTGTCAAAACTTACAAAAGCCCTGGAGAAAAAAACAGTGCCAAAAAACTAAGTCAGAAACATATACCCAACTCTTCTTTTTCTAAATAAACTTTCCTGTGTCCCTCAGCATATTATATATATATTTTTCATCTACTTCCATAAAGAGCCAAGTGGGATCCACCCCACCTTTTTCTCTCTTTTTTTTCTTTTTATTGAGTTTATTTGTACAATCTAGGTATATAATACAGTTACATTCATTATTGGGATCCTGTACCTTTACATGATAGGTCTTGATTCTCATTTTTCCCCCTTGGCCCTGCCCTCCCTTCATCCCCTCCTCCCCTCCCCATTTACAAACACTTAATTTCCATTTTTTTCAGTTTCTCATATTTTTTTCCTCTCCCTTATTACCTTTGCCCCACCCTTCCCACTTTCCCTACACCTTTAGCCCTTTACTTCCTATTTCACATTATTAATTATCTCATTAGGATCCTGTGTACTATTATAGTTTTTCACACCAGAGAAACTATTGGGTATTTCAGTTAAAGAAATCTCTGTATGAACATTAAAAATAGGGAATCCATATCCTAAATCCTAAAATAAAACTAAAAAGGAAAGTAAAATAGAAAAGGCAATGATGTAAAATTAAAATAATCCCTAATTCTGAAGATGAAAATGGTCCCTGAACATATTTAAACTGTTTCTTGCTCTTGTAGTCTTATCTTATTTTTTTCCATTATTTAGAAAATACTGTATCAGTTTCTATAATCAAACCCATGTAGATATGACCTTACCTAAAATAAAACTAAAAAGGAAAGTAAAATAGAAAAGGCAATGATGTAAAATTAAAATAATCCCTAATTCTGAAGATGAAAATGGTCCCTGAACATATTTAAACTGTTTCTTGCTCTTGTAGTCTTATCTTATTTTTTTCCATTATTTAGAAAATACTGTATCAGTTTCTATAATCAAACCCATGTAGATATGACCTTACATATTTAATACAATGTGTTACCCCTGTACAAATGGAACAAAAATGAAAAGTAAAAAAAATTTAACATTTCTAGACCAATATGGCTGTTAATTTCTGTACAATGCCAACTCAACACAGTAAATTGGGGTAACTTTTTCCAAAGTTGAGAGCACCGTTAAAGTTTCCAAA